GAGAGAGAGAGAGAGAGAGAGAGAGAGAGAGAGAGAGGGTGTTTTTAATTGGTTGTATTAAAAAGCTATAAAGTAAATGGAAAAGTGACGACTTTTTAGGTGGAGAGAAAGTGAATGTGTTTTAGTATTTGGGCAAAAGATTTCAAACATAAAATTTATATATTTTACCATGTCCAATTGGCTTCCATCACAATGCCATGCTTCTATACTATATTATTTTTTGTTTTTTTTTTAATAAAATATTTTGACACCAAATTTAGGCATCCACTCGCACATGCAAAAAAAATATATATATAATTTAATAAAATAAAATAACCAAAGTGCCCCTGAAAGTTGTATGGGTATTTTAGTCATTGTAGTTTATCAAAAATATTTTTTTAATATTTTTTTTAGGTACGCCCCGTTGAAATGCACGTACCAAGTTTCATATCCATATAATTTGTAAAAAATTAAAAATAAAATACTCTAAAGCATCAGATTCAAATCAAACGGTCAGTGGCTCACTTTATCTAAATTGGAGGGCTAGATCTGGGGAAGTATGTATCTTCTATACAATAAGGGATGTATAGAAACCTTTCTCTGAGCATTTTCATTGGTGTTCACTTGTCATTCTACTAATTTTTTATTCACGAAATAGTATTTTCAACACTATCTTTTTATAGGAAAATTGTTTCATGCGGGTTGGATCGTATTTCTACATATGTGGTTTGAAAAAGTGTAAAGCATCTATCTTAAATATGGATGCAAATAGGTATTCCAACTAAAAACAATGGAAACTAACAATCCAAATGTGTTATTACTATAATCATTATTTAAAAATTTATTTGTTTTTTCTTATTCATGCTCTCCATGTTAGAGATTACATGCCTTTAAAAATTAAGTCTTAAAATCCATCTTAAAAATAGATTTAGTGAGAAGCCTACATTTCTACATATACTGTCTTGGCTGCATAGAAACCAGATATTTTTTTATAAGAGTTACCTTGCTAGAAGCTAGTCTATGGAGTGTTGCTGGAAATTTCATGCTTACATTTGATTTGATAGATTTCAAGGTATTATGTGCGGGAATGATGACAAATGTCTTAGGAACTTCCGAATGGATGACAAAAATACTGTATTGGTCTTTACAAAGGAAATGGAAAATGACTGAGTACGTATACTATGCTCCCACGAAGTACAGTGTACATCTACTCCTTTGGTTAAGATAATTTTTTCAATATGAATATTTGAGAATCCCCTAAGAATTACCATATAAATATTCGTTTAAAAAAAGATTGAATTTTGGATTGGACAGCCTCTTTTCAATCTTGAATCTTGAGACATTATTTCTTTCAAGTGCATAAGGTGCATACATGACTTATTCTTTTTATAAATTTAGGTTAATCTGTAGTTCAAGAGATTACAATTTCCATAATCTGGGGTCCATAAATTTATTTTATAAATTTTTATAAATTTAGGTCAATCTGTAGTTCAAGAGATTACAATTTCCATAATCTGGGGTCCATAAATTTATTTTAAATAGAGTTTTACATGAGGGAGTAAATAAACAATATACTCCAACAGGAAAATAATATATTTTGGCAATGAATAAATTATTTCGAAAGCTAACTGGGCTGAAATTACACATGGGTTTCCAACAAGGAAAACGTTATTGTAAAGCTGCGGTTAATTCTTGTTGAAAATTACAAATCTTGGGCATGTTTGGTTATGTGTGAAAATGTTTCTTATGAGATATTTTCACATGAAAAAGTTATCTCATGTGGTTAGATGTGAAAATATTTTGATATGAATTAGCTATGAATTGGTGTGAAAATATTTTGATATGAATTACCTGTGAATTAGTGCAAAAATATGCACACAGGATCAATCGATGCGAAAATATTCTCACACCTAACCATATAAAAGAATTTTTTCACGTAAAAATATTTCTCACAAGCCAAATACAGCCCAGTGTTAAACTATTACTTTAATCATCTCTATATCGGCAATCGTATTACGAAATGATGGAATTTAAAGTGTTTGGATCGGCCTATGCACCATTTTTAACCATTATATTTCACAAATAAATGATAGAAATAAATTTCAAAGCTGTCCTAAGGCTTTATGGGAGTAAATTTTTTGATGGAATTTCGAGGTGCGGCTGCACTTTAATTGTAAAGCTGGTAATTTATGCTGACTAAAAATTTGCACTATGTTTTGAGTTTCAAATTTCAGAATGATATGTGAAAAAAGATTTTAGGTTAGCATGAGGGTTTCCAATGTCAAAGCTAAGTTGTGTAGTGTGATTATGAGGTGTATGACTTCACTTATGCTAATTGTATGCTTTAAGGTAATTATATTTTCCATTATGCCTATTTTCACCTTCTATCTCAAATCAATGTTATCCCGACACTTTATGTATGGTAAGGTGTCATGCTTGGACATTTAAACACATGGCGACAAAATGGAATAAACTCACAAAGGGCTTGAATTTGGAAGTACCAAATCTACTACCCTAGCATAATTATCTCAGATTGTTTCATTACATTATATTATAAAAACATGGCATAAAATCACTATCTTGTAAAAAAACTCCCATTATTATTCAAAATATTACTTGTTCATACATGTCTTAATATAATGTTTTTTTATACCATAGTACAAAACAATTTAGATACTAGGTATGACATTCTTATTCATATCTATGTATAATGTATGTAACTGCACACAATCCCAGTCTTAGCTAAAATATCCCTTGAATAAAATGAGGGAGGGTGGTTGTTGGGGGCAAACTGGTAGGGTGGGTATGGAGCACCTGTTAAGGAGGGTTGCTCAAATAATTTTAGATATAACATTTCTTATTCCCTTTAGGCAAAAGATTTTCCTGCAAATAATTTTGTTTTTTAATCCTGGTAATTTAGTACCTACTTTAAAATCACAGGTATGAGGAAAGGATTTTAGCCCTTTTAATTCAACCATTAAAAAATTAGACGGTTTCTATTCAATCTTAGGCTAGTCAATCTAAAACCTGGATGGTGTCTATTAAATATTTGTGACAAATTTTTGTACTAATTCTTATGTTAGTATGTGTGATTTTTTGAGAAGATTCTATGTCCAAATCAAGGGCACGTTTGGTTCGTGTGGAAAATATTTATTGGGAGATATTTTCAGGCGAAAAAATTATCTCATATGGTTAGGTGTGAGAATATTTTCATATAAATTAATGTGAAAAGAATGATTCAGACTATTACGAAAATATTCTTACATCTAATCACATTATAACCAAACGGTCCCAAAAATCGTAATACTCCAAACTGTTTAGGCCGTGAGGGAGCATCTTTGTCTCTTGGCTTTATTGTTGGTCAAAAGAATATTTACGACAAAATATTATTCTATTTTCTTTTGTTTTTTAAAGTCTTGCATTAAGACATGTGATAGCCTTGTAGTTTTCCAAGAGCTTATATCCTTTTATGCTCTGACCTAAAAAATAGTTATAAAAAGAATGTTAATTGTGGTTGTCCAAGGTCTATCTTTTTTTACGAGTATTCAAAGATCTGGTTTTTGGCCATAAGAGAGAGGCTTTATATATTACTAAAACTGGTTTTGTTAATTAACAAGGGAGTTAGACATTTAGAAATCGATGAACATGTCTAACCTAAAAAACAAGTATAAAAATAAGTTAATAGTGGTTTCGTGGGATATATCCTATATTTTGGAATATAAATTGATATTTTCAAAAGAGAGGGAAGATAGTGAGATTAAATATTCATTGGAAAGAGAATGGCATACATTCAAGGAATTGGTTATTGAACATTAGAAATCTGAAATAGTCTATGGAAATAGTGGATTTTGTAATATATTACCTAAATTGTCAATTTTTCAAGATTTTAAAATGTTATAAATCTACACTGTTTTTTGACTTTAAATTTTATAACCAGTAATAAAAATAAATTTTCAGACCATGATGAAGATTTCTAATACTGAAGCACTATTCGAAGGTTCGGCCTACTTTGATTGTTTACGGCCTCGGCCTTTTACAAATCACACCATTCGAAATTTAGAGAGCGAGAGAGAGAGAGCGAGCGCTGGTTTTTGGCCAGTAGCTATTTATAGAGAGGGAGGGAGAATGGTATATGCTCAAAGAACTGGTTTCTGGCCATTAGAGATTTAAAGGTGGTGAGAAAGTGAAGAAGGGGACCTGGTTTAGAGAGAGAAAGAGAGAGAGAGAGAGAGCTGGTTTTCGGCCATTAGCGATTTATAGAGAGAGAGGGAGAATGGTATATGTTCAAAGAACTGGTTTCTGGCAATTAGAGATTTAGAGGTGGTGAGCAGGTGAAGGAGGGGACCTGGCTTCTTCTCCCTCCTCTAACATGGAGGACCAAATTTCTGGTATTTTGAGGCATTCTCTTGAACGCAAAGACCCACCATTAATTTGGGCCATGGAGGTTAGCAGCGCTTTGCAAGAGAGTGGTGTGGGGCTTCCTAGTTCAGAGTTAGGGCACTTACTGGTCTCTCACCTTTGTTGGGCTAACAATACTCCTCTTTTATGGAAATACATAGAGCACGCGGTGAGCTCTCAGCTCGTTTCTTCTCTGCAACTCCTTGCTTTGCTCACTTCCAGGTAATCTTATTGCTTGAACCACTTGTTCTCCTGAGGAGAAAATATGGGTCTCTCTCTCTCAGTAGATAGTAGCTTTTGGTTTTTTTATCAAGTTGAAATTTTGGGTTTCAAAATTTTGGGTTTTCAGGATAAAAAATGGGCTCTCTCTTCTCTCACAGTAGATAGCTTCTTTATGTGCGTGTGTTATTTTTTGTTTGATCAAGTTAGAACTTTTGGTCTCGGCATTTCTCTCGAAGTTATTAATCTTCATCCAATTTTATAATTTTTTGACAAAATAGAAATTTGGGTTTCATTCTTTCTCGTTGGAAGTAGACAGATTACATCAATCAAACAATTAAAATTTGATTTTGATTAAGAAAGAATTCGGGAATGTAGAGGAAGCTCCCAGAATTCATATCATAGAAAATATTTACCCTTTATTTGAGTGTTTTGTTATTTATTGGTAAAGTTTACTCCTAAGAGCTATGTTTGGTTTCTTGATTTACATATTGGATTACTAGCTAGAAGTTCCTGATGTTAATTACTTGTAGTCTTGTACATTCTCAAATGGGTATTGCTTTATTTACTATTTTCCTATTGGTTTTTATATATGTCTACATTTTAGTAGTGTTTTTGAATTTCAGAAGGAATGGAGATATTTGTTTTTTCATTCCTTTTAGAAATGGGCATTGCTTTATTTCTATTTTCCTCTGTATTTTTTACAGATGGCACTTTTGCTTCACGTTTCTGTAATGTTCTCCAAGTTCAGAAGAATGTTGGCACTTATTTCTTCAATCATTTTAGAAAGGAATGATTAAATGCTTTCAGATGGTTGCTTCTGTATTGTTTTATTGGAAGATACAAATTATCAAAATAAAGAAAACATTATCATCATCATCCAAGCCTTATCCCAACTATTTGGGGTCGGCTACACGAATCCTGTTCGCCATTCTACTCTTATGTGGTAAAAGTTTTATGCTGGCTGACAATCCTCCTCCTTTCTCATCCGGGTTTGGGACTGGCATGACTGGCTTGGGAGAGACCATGGTGGAGTTGCAAAATAAAGAAAACAGTTCTGTTAATTTCATTCATTGAAAAGGATTCTGTTAATTTAGTGAAACATGCTTTGATACAAACTTGCATTTAAATTTCAGGGTGATTCCTCAAAGGCTGAATCAACCAGAGGCTTACAGGCTATATCTCGAGCTTGTTAGCAGATATGCCTTTTCATTTCTCTCAACAAAAGCGGCGCCATGTAAGGAAAAGTGCGTGTTTTCAACTTCTTCCTGATCAATATTCCCAGATGTTAAAATGCAGAATAGTCCTAGCTGTAGATTCTGGACTAGGTGAAATTAACTTCGATCATGCTTGTTTAATAATGTTTATGAATTTGCTGAATATTTCCCAAGAAGACATTCATTAGGGGGCATGGCAATGTTATGCTTCATTTTAATGCATGTTATGCTTGATTCTAAATGCATTTGTTCCCCTTAATGCATTTCTTCCCCATCATTCTAATGCATTTCTCTATGTGTTGGTAACTGTATATTGTTCAGCTGGGTTCCTAGACAATCATTACATGCTCCGTTATAGAACTGTTTTCTCTACTCCTCTCTCTCTCTCTCTCTCTAAGCTATTTATCGCCCATATCTGCAGTGGCAGTGGG